GCAAACGTGCATTACACGTTACTTACACCTGGTATTAATAGATATTGCTATCGAGTTTATGAAATTTCACATTATAAAACATTCAATTGAAATGGACTCAATTCAATTCTGAATAAATAAATATTTAACGAGACGAAGGTTGCTCACCCTTACCACACAAGCACAAATAATAATTTAAAGAAAAGAAGAATAGAACCAATAAAGGGCTAGATTGAAGACAACTTAGGGAGTGGAGTGAACAGACAACTTTGAAAAAAAGGGAAATAATAAAGAGGCTATAATTGAAAACAAATTACTAATTTAGGGTGTAAAGTGTAATTTACCATTTTCCGTGCGGTCAGCCAAAACAATACTGAAGAGAATAGCTATCAGCTTATCCGTTACAGACAATAATGTGGTAGCATGAAAGTTCAGAACTCGTCCCCTCCACAATCGAGCGACAAATTAGAACACTACAACTGTACATTACTTTCCAAAATCATGTCCATCGCGCCGCCAGTCGAGGCCAAGCGCCGCCCTGTTGGAGGTACCGAGCTCAGCTGGTGCAAGGCGGTGCCTGGTGGCACTGGTATAACTGTACTGGCCCTCCTCCTGTCGAAAACTCTGGATATCACACTTCTCCGAAATGCCCTCCATAAACTTCAAATTTCCCATCCGATTCTCAATTCCCAACTTCATTTTAATCCCACTTCTAATTCTTTTTCTTACATCACACCCCCAACTCCCCAACTCCAAATCCAACCATTCGATCTCCAATCGACATCCAAGATTCTTCAAACCCTTGACAATGGCAATGGCAATCGCACTCCGACCTCCATTTCACCCTTTCACCTTATCCTTGAACACGAGCTGAACAAGAACGTGTGGCAGAATATTGACCCTTTATTGGACATCGATCTTTTCTTTGCCAGCGTGTACACTTTGGAAAATGACAATTCGGTTGTGGCCCTCAGGTTGCATACTTCAGCATGTGATAGGACATCAGCGTTGACATTGCTCCGGGAGCTGTTGGGGTTGATTGACGGGGAGGGGTTGGATTCATCGGAATTAGGAAAAGAAATGCAGGTTAATTTGGGAATTGAGGATTACATTCCCAGTGGGAAGGCTAATAAGCCCTTATGGGCTCGTGGAGTCGACATGTTGGGATACTCTTTGAATAGTTTAAGGTTTTCCAATCTAAGTTTTAAGGACACGGAGTCGCCTAGGATGTCACAAGTTGTGAGGCTGCAGTTGAATTCAGAAGACACTGATCGGATTCTATCTGTAAGTGATGAATTTTTAAGCGAAATTTGCTAGCTGTTATTTTGAATTGAATGTTGATTGATTTATTTACTGGCTTTTAAAGTCTCTTGTAATAATATGAGTAGAATTTATCTTAATATCAACATAGTATAATGTTGTCTGTTGAGGTTTCATCCAAGTCAATTAAGGGCCAATTGATGTGACTTTTTGCTTTTGCTTCCGGTAGAAGAGGACGTTGTGGGAAAGCTACATTAATTTTTGTTTGGAAACTAATTTATAAAAGAGCTTCTTATTCCAAAAAGTGCTTTTAGAGGAAGCCAAGTTTGACTAACTTCCTTTAATAGCTTGTCTAGTTAGAAGAGGCAGTTTCATAAAATTGGCCAAATTAGTCTAGAAAAAGCTTTTGGGTCTCAAAAGTTCCTTTAGTCTTCTTGAAAGCAACGCCAAATGGGCCCTATGTAGGAGAATGCAGAATAAGGAAAGAAAAAGAACATAATCTAGCTTTTTCTTTGCTAAAGGATTGTGCCTCAATTTATTTTAAAGGAAATGCTTAATTTGAAGATGGATGCATAAGAGGAGTGTGAAATCAAGTTTTATATAGATCTATGTTTCATTTTCACGAATGTATGTGTGTACACCTGTGTATGTGCATACATTACACATCTCAGTGTATGTTTTATGTTACATATGCATGCATGCTTGGCATTGATGATGGTTTGGCAGAAGTGACATCATGGTGGTCATATTGTGATTTTGGAGATTGTGAAGGTGGAGGCTAACATTGTTGGAGCTTTATTATGAATCAGATGGAAATTAGAGGTGGAGAGGACTCCTTTTAGAAGAATAGCCTTTTTTAAAAAAAATTAGTCTAGCACTTATATATTATCGTTCCATTGTGGATTTCATTCGGTTGATTATTTTGTTTGAACCAAAAGGAATCCTTGACATGGATAAAACTAAAGAATAGTCCTCTCCTCCCCCCACCCCCCTTCTCCTACTTTCCCTCCTCCTCCTCCTCCTCCTCCTGTTTTTGAGTCCTTGGTGGAATGAAAAATGGGTGTTTTCATATGTTTGAAGGAGATTAGATTTTCATTCATAGTTGGTGAACGACAACCTTGTGTGGATATGCTTTTTTTTTTTGTTCTTATTTTGAGGTTGTATCCTATAAACTTCTACTACTGTTTTAGGTTGATGCTTAATGCTCGAGCATTATCCTTTGGTGGATGCTCATTGGGGATTAGACTTCGACTTAACCTTGGATCTTTGGACAAAAATCTTCATGGTCTCTTTAATTTTGTTTATGATCCTTGGATTATGTGTTCGATCGGGTGAAAAAAGGAGCTAATAACCTTGTTGTCAATAGACCCTGCCAACTCTCCATCCACCTGTATATGGCATGCACACTAGGGGCACTCGTTAGAATGCAAGATTGTTATGCCGAAGAGGTGCAACGATTGTCTGTGAGAATATAGAACGTGGTGTGGAAAGGTAAACAGACAGTGTTTTGACTAGGTTTATGATTTAACATACTTGGTTTAGTTGTGTATTCATAGATTGCAAGGTGCAAGAATGCCTTTCAACTTCTCTAGGCGAGATTTTTCCCACACATTCATTGCCAACGAGTGGGTGACCGACCTGTCACGGCCATGGATGAGGTCACATCCACTTGCATCTCATGTGATTTCGCAGAAAATGGTAAATGTTACGTGTGAAAATTACTCTCTCTTGTCTTGTTTCACCCAATCATTCGTTTTTCTTTATTGGAGTGGCATGACATGTGACATTATGGCCTGACACCTTCCATATTGCGGAAACAACCTCGATGTGTTGTGCAGTAGATAAAATCTCTGTAAGTTGGGGAACTATTTAGTGATAATGAGGGGTGAGGATTGCAATTGCCACATAAAAGCAGATATTGGCTACTGATTATATGTTATTTGAGTTGGATTCTTAATATTGGAAATGTCCTTCCTTGAAATTCAAGTATGTTGTAAATTTCTATTCTGATGAAGCTTGGTTTGAAGTTGAAAACTAAAATGTTTGAATGGTTAATTGTGGATTAACTGGGACGTTTAAAAGCAAAGTTATGTGAGAGCAAACAGATCGTGACTTCTTGGATCTTATTATTTTCTACAATATCCGCTGGATTGTCTTAGGTTCTTGTGTATGAAAAATGGAATCATAAATGTGTTGGCATCTTGGCTCACTAATTTGTCGGGTACCTATGACCAAGGATCTCAGATGTATATATTTTGGAATGCCATCAACGGTGTGCCTTTGAATGAGCACGTGTAAATCTATTTCTGCAATTGGAATAGTAAATGATGTTTCTATCTGAATGTCACCTTGGTGTATAACAAAGTATTGGCTTGGTCACCATCAGTGAGGTTTGGCTTTATATTGCAGGGGTGTTTAGAGATAACTAATTTTCAGTGCTTAATGGTTGCCATATTTGATTGTGCCATCCTATTTACCAAAACTTAGATCGTTTTTGACCCATGGATCTTGAATCCCGATCTTTTGAGGTGTGGATAATTTCAGCGTTTCTTGTTTGGTTCAGTATTTTTACTGGTAACATCAACATATCAATTGGGAAGCAATTTCAAGGGAAGTTGTTGGCTGGTTTTTTACGCTCTTCTACACTAGTCTCTTATTTCAGTAGTATTTTTGACAAGGAGATGCTCCAAGTTGTGGTAACTATTCCTTGACATACTTGAATTTGTCCTGGGCTTTTCTTGGGTTGCACATTGGCTTGTGTAGGACCCTAAAATATTATGTAATTATATATAAAATTAGATTTGGCTCTAAAATATTCATTAAACATTTTTTTTTATTCCATGAGACATTCTTCTTGTAAGTTCTGAAAGAAAAAATATATTTCCTTTTTTTAATAATAACATCAGAATTACATCAATAAATAGGATAACTTGGTATCCTTCTGATTATGACTGACTAGCTGAATAATGGGAATTAATCTAAATCTAATATTTGAATCCTAAACTAAAGGATCAGATTTTTATTTACAAACAGAAAAATAAAACAAATCCTAACAATTTTTCCTATTTTTCTGACACTTCTTTTTTTGTAGCACGATTAATTAACAAGCTATCTTGATGTAACAATTTTCAATTAGAATACAAACATGTTGCTACCATCGGCTGAAATTCACCAAGCATTTGGTTCAACCATAATCTTGAACAGCATCAAAGGTTCCCCAACATCTGCAAAGAACAAAGATTAAATTAGTGAAAAATGTAAATGGACTAAACTAAAAAGAAACCAAACCCTACTCGATTCGCTAAAGATATTCAAATACATGGGAGGTTCTCAAAACTTTCTTCCAGCTTGGCTCTCAAGCTTCCATCGAGGCAGCTGGCTCAGCAAAGCAAGGGTGTATGTATGAGCCCTTGGGTCCTTGAAGTCTAGCACTCCAACAACCTACTCGACTTGCACTGAGTCTTCAATGCCCTTGTCTCCAAACCTAGGCCTCCATCCCTGTTCGCCTATTTATCCTAAGCCTGCATGTAGCCTCCTTGTGGAGGTTAGTATTAGAATCCCACATTA